TTCAGTACAACTTTCCTCTGCCGGGTTATAATCACTAGCACTGATTGTGTTCGCTGTGGCCACAAAGTAACTAAGATTTCTTAAGTAGGTATCCCATTGGTACAAAGGATATAATACGTCACTGGCATTGGCATTATCTTCATGATAGTTTAAATTACTGAATTCTTCAGTACAACTTTCCTCTGCCGGGTTATAATCACTGGCACTGATTGTGTTCGCTGTGGCCACAAAGTAACTAAGATTTTTGTGTTGATTTGTATAACTGGAATTTGTCAAATATTGATTTGTGTGACCACCTACTATAGACGTGGTCATTGTGCTCGAAAGCAACCCAGCCAAATAACTGGGATTTGTCAGATACCAGAGTGCATTCCATGCACGTTTTGTGGAAGATCTTCGGTGTGAGTTTTGAATTGCTGGCGCACAATCACGTCGAGGTTGGCGCACAAGTTTTTAGTTTTGGTGGTTGGCGCAAGAATCAAATGTTTAAGCGAGACTTTGAGTATTAATAATCGCCTGGTGATTGGCCTCTAAATTATTTAGGGACTCGAGAAATTTCTGTTTCTGGTTGTAATAGTAGCTAAATGGTGGTTATAACTTGTGATACAACAGTAACAACACTCATCATTGCTCATCAGCAAAACATTTTATTCATCAGTGCGTTACACGCCTTTTTAGCAAGTTTAAATTTTAAGCAACTAACTATTCATTAAAAATCATGGTGCCCGCGATCAGCCGGCGCATAAGTTGATCTCACTTGGCGCACGGTAACACTACCTCAGATTATCTTCAGCGTGAGGTTTACACGGAATGCACCCTGGGTCAGATATTGATTTGTCTGACCACCTGCTATAGACATGGTCATTGTGCTCGAAAGCAACGCAGTGAAATAACTGGGATCATTTGTATATTGATTAAAAACAGGATATTTATCATCAAAATAAAACATGCTTTGAAACTCATATTCTTGAACAACAACACTATGCAAAAAATATATCTACATGTAACAAGATCTATTTCATCAACGTCCAAAGACCAAAGAGAATATTTTGGTCTAGCATTTAAACCACTGTCATTTAAACCCTTCACGCAGAGCAAAGTTGTACCTGCTGTGAATTCGTACGGACTAAAAACATGGCAGCTCTGTGCTGACTGTGCGTCTGCCGTTGAGATTTTCAATGTCGGTTTTATAGTCGATAAAACTTCGCAACTTAGCTTTTAATACTCTCACAATAATCTTCAACCATTTCAAATGAAATATGGAAAAAAATACAAAAAACTTCACTTACTTTCCCAAGAAACAGCAAAAACCACGGTCACTTAATAAAAAAAACAAAATATCGCGGAGAGAAATCGAAGAGAGCGAGCACAATCATGGTCTTCGAGAATGTCTTCGAGTCGCTATGACGACATAATTATATATCATTGTTATATATTCACATAATTATTCACACCAGAACGAGGCAAATGTTACATCGCAAATCTCGAATCGACACGATTAGGAAGCGTTCTCCTTCGTCGAACGCAATTAACTTGTGGCGAAATCAGTAAAGTTTAGAAAATATTCAACTTTTTCTCCATATCAAAATACAGAATGTTTGGCCAAGCAGTGAGTAAATATATGATTGTTTCAGTTTGTGTATTTGTTTTGATGGCATTAGACCCCCCGATGAAAAGCTTATTTTTCTAGGATTTCAATGGTGTTCTTTGTTTTTAAGGGGGGTGAATACGCGCTGAAATATTTACGCTATAAAACAGTTGAATCAAAATGTTGCTTGCCGTGAAAAATGTCGAGAAAGAGAATTCGCCGTTAAGTTGCAAATACTTCTGTTTGAGAACGCAATAATTGGGCATTTCGCAACCAGGGCAGTTTCAGGGCAGTTTTGGCCTTGTTGTTGGGAAATCCACTAGGCCTTTTAGGCTTGCTTCCTCCGCCCCGCCCCCAAATCACCTAGTCCCAGTCTTTTCATGTGAAGAAGAGCGCTGAATATTAAAATAATATAAATAAGACTAGAAGGCCTAGGTCTAGGCTGCGGAGGATGTAAGTGATAATATGCCGGGTCAATTCTACCGCTTATTAAAAAAATTTCCGCTAATTGATATTTCAGTCCCAAAATTGTACTGTATATATATTTTTCATTACCTCAAACCCAAGAGAGGGGCTACGACTTAGATATTGAGAAAAAAAAGAAGTGAACAATCTTATAACCAAAGATAACACAAGGGAATAGGTCAAGAATTATTGTTGGCTGAGAAATGAAGGTCGACCCTATTTATGTATAACATTTTTACTGCATGTAAATAGATTAATTGTTAGTCCTTCCCTAACCATACACCTTCCCAACAACCAGAAACCACAGAAGCGGTAAAAATAGTATCTGAATCAGATACTTATGATTATGTATACAGTATTTATTGTTTTTACGCATATTTGTACCTTGAGGTTCGCCAGTTGCCTCCACTACATACGCAGAACTATCTGTAGATGGAAAACTGATCATTAATAAAAATAAACAGGTTATACAGTCAATGTAAGTTGTCTATCCTTCATATACGCAATGGTCGGTTGGAATGCTGTAACCACAACAACAGGACTCAAAGCCTTATCATAATTACCCTGAAGAAATATTAATAATTGATTTGCGAGAAAAAGCAATGAAAGGTTTTGGTCAGTTAGGTTTTGATCAAGGTTTTGATCAATGAAAGGTTTTGATCAAATATAGGGCATAATATCGTTAAATTGATAAGTTTACCTTCTGGCGCTGTGTCGTTTGTTATATAGACGTATCTACCCCCAGATGTGCTATTGTAAGACCACAATCGACGAAAGTCTTCATGGTCAATGGCGTCTATAAGGCAGGAATCCCCAGGAGCTGCAAGATCTGTTGAGAAAGATTTAAAAACACTAATTTAACAAAAGTTAATTCATTTAAGATCCCGCATCAAAATAAGCAACATAGCGACATATTCATATGTTTGGGTTAAGTTAATTACAAGGTGATTGAATGTAACCTCCTACTTTAGCTTAGTATTCAATTTTGTTTTCATTGGCAAAAAAAATCTGTCAAAAATGTGAATTCTCATATTAAGTCATCTTAACCTTGCAATTGATCCTAAATTTTCTATGAAATAAATGCTTTTAGTCGTTGGCTATTCATAGTATTTGGCGAAGGGCATACTTTACATCTAAAAGAGTAGGAGATTTTAGAAATTTCATAAATCTGCGGATTTTGAAATGGAGTGATGTAGGCCTACTTCTCAAGGATTTCTATTGGCTTTCTTACAAGAAATTTTAATGCATTTTTGTCATCTTCCGTATTTTTAAATTTTATTAGGATTTGAACGATTTTTAAATTCGGATTTCACAACAAATTGTACCGAATTCATACTGGATTTTTTGGCCTCGGTTTTTGGAACATACAAGTGGCATTACAATCAGTGCCGTGTTCAACAAACCTTCATGGCGATGACGTTTGCTGCGTTTTGTGCCCATTTTCTACAAACGTAAAATCAAAGAATTAGGCACCTTGGCAAAGGCTTTTTTGAGACAGCCTTCGATTCGAATAGGTTAATTGAGCGACGTCCTATGAAACTCTGCTTTGCTCGCAGCTGCAAGTAAGAATGATTAGCACTGACCCCCACCATTATATGATACATTGTACGCGTTGATTGCTTCGATTCCAGATGTTTGGTGGGGTGGCCTGGGGTGAGCGTGAAATGGAGGAATCAATGGTCGAATTACATTCACGAACCGTCGTTTCGACAATTCATGCAGTCGAATTTACACTGAATGTTAAATACAATGTTTGCACAAGTGAAAGCATTATGCCCACACTTTTGGTAGTATATTTGACTAATACCTCCCTTTTCACAGTTATAAATCATGGGTGGAACCTTGGTTGCTCGCAAATGGTATAGTAACTACAATCCTGGACAAAACATCTGCGACACTTCCAATTATTTGACAAAATTTTGTAATATTATCGCGAATTTTGAAAAAACATCCCTCTTACCCTCAAAATCCAACGTTAATTAATTGCATTCGGAGAGTACGGAAATAAAAAGCAGCAATGTTCGTTGGTTTTGTTTTTTTGGGGGGGAGGGGGGAGGAGGTAATCGAGTCAATTATTCCAGCGTAACATTAAAAAAGTCACAAAGGAATGTTTTAATAGAATGTCGCAAATGGTTTTGTCTAGGATTACCTGTATCTTTCAAGTTCAATAACCAAAGCATAGCACATTAAAAAAGTAAATATGGCTCACTAGAATGTATTAGGCTTCAAGAAGCAAATACCAAATGGTCGACAAGGTTATATAACACACTCACGCATCGCTATGCATATGCTTCGATAGTTTATATACAGAATGCAATTAAGAATGATTTACGACGACTTTCAGGCATTTAACATACTTCGGAGAACGAGTCAATAATATAATCAATATTGTATATACAATCCATTTTGTATTAAGAATGTTCTAAGATGCCTTAATCCATATTTATTTGTGTTCACATGTTAGACAAATAAACGCTTAGCTGTTGACGTGGAAACATATTATTGGGTTTCACTACGGCATTATGCAGTGAATCTGACGGGAGGTCACTGCCTCAAATGTATTGACGCCTATGCTGTATTGGAGTGAGAAAATGGTACGAAATTCCATATATTTGCCACCAAACACAAGGCTACTACATAAAAGGAACAATCGACTCACTCTGATAACTGTGTTTTGTTTTAGAGTTGACCCCCCGTCACTTCTGTGACGTCATATGAAACACAAGAATTGCGTGATCTCGCTAATAGCAATCTCGAAGCATTTGTCGATCGATTAATATAGGTGTTTTCAGGGGCTTATATAAGCAGCATTCGAACCTCGATGATCTCAGAGATCAACGACAGTACATGGCGTTTGTCAGTGTCGGCCTTGGAAAAAACTATTAAGACCAGTTAGTTTCTGAAGTAGCTTGAAGATGTTAAGCCACTATCACGGAGACAAGAAGTCAATAACAACGATACGCTCTCTAATTGAAACGTTGGATCAAAAGATGCTATTGTCGAATCTGACCAAGGCTTATTACGACAGGCAACGGTTTTCAATATATATTTTAAGCGTATCGAGTAGAAATTAAAAAACACTTATTTGATCCAGACCAGAAACAGCTGCGATAATTTAAACTAAAAAATTTCCATCTTTAATTAATATCCTTCAACTATATTCAAACGAGTGAGGTGCCAACAAAATCTTGATATTACCAATAAATATTTTAATTCTTCTCACCTTATTGTCACCAGCCCGATTTCCGCGCTTTTTAGGTTTATTCGAAGCCATGCCCAATTTCACCAAAATAATCCTCTACGTTGCATGCGCTGTTTACGGAGTGATCTAACAAATTATTATCTTAGATTGCACTGACATGACAAAAATTATTATAACATGAGATAACAATACTCGTATAAATTCAATAGCTCTGTACGTGGAATTATAAATGCACCAATTATTGTATCAAAATAATTATTTGATTACACATTTTTGACATTCCCCACATACTATTACTTGTCTTAAAACGTCCTCTTTGAAGAGATTCGCCTATTACCCAGCTTGGATATTATAACATATATATTTTTCTATATCAGTATATAATTATTTGATTACACATTTTTGACATTCCCCGCATATTATTATTTGTCTCAAAACGTCCTCTTTGAAGAGAGCCGCCTATTACCCAGCTTGGATATTTTAACATATATATTTTTCTATATATATTAGTTCTATAAATTTGTCATTCTATAGATTGGAACAACGCACTATAATAAACGAAGTAAACTACTTATAATAACATGTTAATTAATTGCTTGACTAACTATGATCTATAATAACGTTAAGAATTCAAGCGCTTTCATTGGTTGAGAGCCATGATCTATTATAGAGGAGAAACGCACGGAATTGCGATACAATTCGTCATTCTTCGTGCGCTTAACTAGATCTTGGAAGTTGGAATGCACTACCACAGAACTTCAGAATGGAAGTCAATTTAAATCGTTATTACGGGCATACTACAGCAATGCCGTCAATAGTCGTTGTAATACAGATGTAAGACATAACTGTCTTCCGAATATGAACAAATATAAATATCCAACACAATTGAAGACCAATCAAAATTATCATAACAGAATAAGATACATATTTTAATATCATATTTTAATATACTATTTGAAAATAGCTACTTGACTAATCGCCAGTTTGGGCCAATCCCGCGCATTAACCAGACGTACAGTTACACACTATACTCACTGAGTACAGTTAATCTCAATCAGGAAAATGAATACAACTGTAAACTTTAAACCCGTTTTTAGGAATACATATTCGTACATGTCGATGGATCGATAGTGCTCTTCGCGCGTGCGTGAAACCACTGTTTGGCTTCAAATTTGCGGTTGGAGGTAGCGTTCCAGTTATATTCATTTCACCCATAGGCGTACGGGGCGGGGGGGCGGGGGGGGCGGTAGCCCCCCAGTTTTTGGGCAGTCGGGCAATTTCCCAGTTTTTTTGGGCAGTCGGGCAATATTCGATCAACAGTCGGGCAATTTTGGTTTGCAATTAAAAGAAATGGGACAAATTCTGTCAATTTTGTCTAAAATTAAGTAAATTTTTTGGCAAATTTTGTGATTTTTGGAAAATTTGTGTTATGTTCCGAAAAATATTGGTTGTCCGGAAAATTTTTTTGACCCCTAAAATGGTACACTGACCGAAATTGTTTTGGCGACGGGGGGGGGTCGCCAAAATAATTTTTCCGGAAAAAAATTTTTGGGCAATGTGGAATTTTTTGGGCAAAAAAGCTACCGCCCCCCCAGAATTTAGCGGCCCCGTACGCCTATGATTTCACCTATTTCAATTCGCCTAATAAACTATTAGAAATGGCCTAAACGTAAATAGCCCAATAAACTGTTAGAAATAAACCCATACAAAAATTAAACGATTTAAATAAACACGTCAATCTCAAGGTTTCTGTTACTCTCGTGACGACACAGATCGAACTCAACTCCATTTCTGAGTCATCAACAGAAGAAAGAAGACTAGTGTAACGGTTTTGATTTGGCCAATGGATGTTAGAGGTGGGTGGCTGTCCTCGAGCAAATGCTCTACCGCTTGAAGTCTGGGAGGATCTCTGGTTGAATTTCTAGCCAAGGCTTAATAAAACTTCTTTGTGGTCTGTCAGCGATTGCCATTAAGTCAGCGTGATCAGGCGAGGACAGAGATTGTTGATCTTCGGCTGCTGCCGCTAGCTTGTAAATCTTTTTATACCTTTTGGCGGGATTGGATTGATGGCTGCCTTCAGCCCTGGATTTGTAGTATCGTACGTAGATTTAGCGTTGCATATCAGCTTGGTGACTTTTGCATGTAAACTTTTATACTTCGGTGTCTCCCCTTTCGTCTTGCTTTTATCAACACTTTAATATTGGGGGTCATCCACGGTTTGTCCGTACAGTGCGCGTGAACTTTTCTCACGGGTATGGCTTCATCAAGCACACAGATGACGATAGAGTTAAAGACTTAGACCTTGTTATCCACATCCCATTCGGAATATACTTTCTCCCAGTCTTCAAGATTCATTTTCAATCCCAGAACGTTTAAGTTCTCTGGTTTCACTTGTCGATATTTCTTTGAAACGAGGGGCATCTTCTGCATGTTTTGTTTTGGGTGGTAAGATCAAACATTATTGATCGGAACGTCCGATAGGTGGAAAATGAAAAACTTCGTCATACACATCCTACATATTGGTAAGTATCTGGTCCAAAATGTTTTTTCCTCTCGTGGGCGACTTGACCTGTCTTCGTATAGATTAAAACGACGACACAAAGGATTCACGTCCAACTTGTTGAAGTCCCCAGTTACAAATATGTAGTTACAAATATGCCGGCAGAAGGGCGCTGGATGAATGCATGCTTTGTTTCACCCACACACACCCACGTTCCGGCCAAAACACATATAAGCAGCCCTATTTTCGAAACTTGTCATACCGCCTGATGATTCTTTACTGATGAAACAGACTGTTGCGGAATTTCGAGGTAAGCGATATATATATATATATATATATATATATATATATATATATATATATATATATATATATATATATATATATATATATATATCGCTTACTAATGCCCTATTAAGAAGAACTGTAAATCTAAAAACATTATCTACAAGGCCCAAATTACATCACCCGACGACGGTGTCATAAAAGAATATATAGGAATGACAGCGACTACTTTTAAAGAACGATATGGAAATCATAAGAAATCCTTCAAACTCCAAAGATATAAAAACGATACAGAGCTGTCAAAGTACATCTGGGGGCTAAAGAGTAATAATAAAGATTACACCCTAAAACGGTCAATTCTGAAGCGGGCAGGCGCATACTC